ATGGATTTCTCCCAAATAGACAAATTAGGAACAATTTAAGTATAATAATGGATAGTCTGGAATATTATGAAGTCCACCCAGAGAAACGGATAGCCCTTGTTTTCTTAGACTTTTCTTAGGCTTTTGACAACCTTAATTGGCAATTTATGATTCAGCAAATTTATGACATGAATTTCGGCACCAAATTTGAGAATATTATAAGAGCAATTTATTCAGTACAAAAAGCAAATATCATAATAAACAGAGAAAATACCGAAACTTTAAATATAGAGAAAGGAGTCTGACAAGGTTGTCCGCTGTCCCCTCTGCTCTTCATATTATCATTAGAAGTACTATTAGAAAGAGTGAGGCAAAATCCTGAAATAAAAGGATTGAAAACTAGAAATGAAGAATATAAACTGCAAGCATTTGCAGATGATATGGCTTTTATTATTGAAGACCCAATAGAAAAAGGACAAATATTAATTAAGGAATTAGAAAGATATGGAGCGGTGGCAGGATTGAAAATTAATAGACAGAAAATGAAACTTTTAGTAAAAAATTTAACAGATCTACAAACAATAGAATTAGAAAGAGTACTTGGACTTCAAACAACAAGAAAAATTAAATACCGGGGAATATGGCTGACAGCACACTGTAAGGCGATAAAGGAGAATAATTATAATAAGCTATTACAACAAACAAAAAAGACTTAGAATTATGGACGAAAATGCAACTGTCATTACTAGGAAGAATAGCAGCCATAAAAATGTCTATATTACCAAAAATTCTTTATCTATTCCAAACCATTCCAATTAAATTAGAAAAGACATTTTTTGATAATCTTAATAAAATGACAGCAAAATTTATTTGACAGGGTAAAAAACTCAGAATAAAAATGAAACTACTACAAGATATGAAGAGCAGAGGAGGCTTTGGATTGCCAAATTGGGAATTGTATTATAGTGCAGCAACATCAGTTTGGCTAAAAGATTGGATTAATTTAAAAAATAAAAGAATATTAGCTATAGAAGGTCATGATCTTCAGAGAGGATGGCATGCCTTTCTTTGGGACACAGGACCCACCGAACAAAAATATTTCCACAGACATCTGATTAGAGAGTCGCTGATATACAACTGGATCAAAGTTAAAAAGAAACACTATATAAAAATCCCAATCTGGCTATCTACAATGTAAGAGATGATCCACCCAAATAATTTAGACCTGAACAAAATGTTAAAGTATAAAGACTTATTGGATACACGTGGAAATTTAAAAACAATACAGGAGCTCCAAGAACAAGGGCTACGAGTAGACTGGTGGGCTTATCTTCAAATACAAAGTCGATATACAAAGGATGTAAAGGAGTATGGAATATACTTGAAACCTCAATTAAGACAAAATCTTATTAGGCCCAGATAAAAAAAATATTACCAAAATTTACAAGTATCTCCTAGAAGTAGATTTAGAAGAAGTAGTGAAAGGATGTATGATCGCATGGGGTCAAAATATTGGTCATAACATAAAGTTATCAGACTGGGAGACTGTATGGAATAGAAATCACAAATTAACAAAATCAGCAGCATACAAAGAAAATGCATATAAAATGTTCTATAGGTAGCACTTACCCCCTTCGAGATTAGTGAAAATGTACCCTAAAATGAGTCCTATATATTGGAAAGGTAAAAAAAAAAGAGGGAACATATTATCATATGTGGTGGTCTTACCCAGAGGCTCGAAAATATTGGCTCAAAATCAAAAATTGGCTACAGGAAATCACCAATGAACAATTAGACCTAGAACCAGAACTTTTCCTATTGGGGATCTTCAAAAAAAATATGTAAAGAGCACAAAATATTTATTATTACACATATTGACTGCTGCCAGGATTGCCTTTGCCTAATGTTGGAAACAGCCATATACACCCATAATGGAACTGGTTATACAAAAAGTTATGAATTGTGCTGAAATGGATAAATTAACGCTGAGTTTAAAAGATAAGGAGGTTTCAATATTTTATAAGGTATGGAAACAACGGTATAGCTGGATAGATTGGAGACAGATTAAGGATAAGATATTATTAAATATAGAATATAGATAGAATAAGAATATAATTATGCACAAATTAATACCTGTAAATATTGAACAAATGATTGTTATATGATAAGCACCACAAAGAACTGTTATTGAGTGATATATTTTTTATGTTTTTAATGTAATAAAAATTCAATAAAGTTTATTTTTTTAAAAAGAAATTTCTCATTCAACATTGTAACCTTTTCTTTTCTTGAATTTTATTTATATTTTTTCTTTAAAATACATACATACTTAATAAACAGTGTATTGTGTGGATCAGTTTACTTATACAATATAATAATAACAATAACAACTATATTAATACTACTTATGTATAGTCCAATTTTTGCATCCTTTACTTATACATATCAGTGATCTTTCATCTTCTAATTTCTACCTCTTTTATCTAACCATTGATAAAACAAATCCCATGTTAAAATATTCTATTTCTTCTTTACCCTTTATTATCATCAAATCTTCATCTAATATTTTTCTAATTATACTTTCATCTGTAGGTGTATCCTCATTTTTCCAATATTTTGCAAATACAACTCTCACTGCTGTCAATATATTATTAGATATGTAATCCTTTTATTACAGTTTTCTGGTAATATACCTAAGAGAAATATTTCTGGTTTTACATCTATATGTTGCTTTAGCATTTTCTCTAACCATGTATGCATTTTTTTTTTTTTTGCTTTTACACATTCAGTCACGTGATAATAAGAACCCGGTATCTGATTGCACTTCCAACATTTAGCGGACATATTTTTAAACATCTTTGCTAGTCTTGCTGGTAGAAAATTTTATACAGGTTTTCTTTATACCATGTTTTTCCAAAAAGAAGGCAGGTTTTATTTTCTTTTGACCACTGAAAAAACGGCTAGACCTACTTTTTGGACGGTTCAAATTATTGACTCACCTCTTGGCAGTGGCACTGACAGACCCGACCAGCAGGAGCCTGCTGCTAGCCCATTTTTTCTGCGGCTCCTTGCCGCCACGCGCATGCATTGTCCAAGCCTCCATTTCGCCATCAGATGCCTTCCAGAAAGCCCTCTGCAGCCGATAATAGAGCTCTGCAAATACCTTCCAGAAGGCCTCTGCAGCTGATAATAGAGCTCCGGATTGGTCTGGAGCTCTATTATCGGCTGCAGAGGGCTTTCCAGAAGGCATTTGCAGAGCTCTGTTATCGGCTGCAGAGAGCTTTCTGGAAGGCATCTGAAGGCGAAACAGGCCAGGGCAATGCGCGCGAGTGGCGGCAAGCAGCTGCAGAAGAAGCAGCTACAGAAGAAGGCAAGGCAAATGTACGAGGCCTGGTAAGTAGGGCAGCTCCACCTCCTCTCCCAACCCTAGCTTATTTTTATCTGTGTGCCTCGCCCCACCCTTGCACCCTGGGTTGGGCATGGTCTTAATTAGTGCTAATTTTGTGGGTGGGGCTTAATTTGATCACATGCGCTCAAAAAAATGTGATAGGGCTTCCTTTCATCTTTTTGGAGAAAAACGGTGGGTAATTGCCATGGTCAATTTGTAGTTTCTGTTCTAGAGTTTTTGCCATTTGTCTAGCTCTATGGCAGTGGTGGCTAACTTTTTTGGGCTCCTGTGCCAAAAATTGTGTGCACACTTGCGCACCTGTGTGCCAGCACTCAGAAGGCAATGCATGCGCCCTCCGCCCCCTGCACATGCATGCGCAATACACCCCCTTACCTGCACTGTGCCTCACAGCTGATTTTCGGCTGGTTTGAGGCCCATTTCATCACTTCTGGTGTTTACAGGAAGTGATGAAATGAGCCTATTATTTGGCTTGCAAAGCCTGCAGAGGCTTTTTTCAAGCCTCCCAGAGGCTGAAAAAGGCCTCAAACTAGCCAAAAATCAGCTGTGAGGCATGCGCATGTGCAGTGAGGTAAGTTTGTCTGCAGCTCACGTGCACAAATGGCTCTGCGTGCCTCCTGTGGCATGTGTACCATAGGTTCACCATCACAGCTCTATGATACATCCAAAGTTTCTTGCCCAAACTATAATTGTTTCTTTTACCTGTTTGTCTTCCGAATTTAATATTTAACAAATAGCTATATATTTTGTTCATTATTTTTTCATCCACACAACTATATTTCCATTATATGATCGTTTTTGTTTCATTTACTCCTTCTAATCATGATTGCAAGGAAAACCCTATCTTCCAATTCAATAAATCTTTACAAAAAGACTGATATCTCTTCTAAAATAATAAGTTCCTAAGCCAATTTCCCTAATCTAGCTAAAGAGTCATGCTTCATTAGGGAAGCTGCAGGCCTAGCCATTTTAGAACTGTGGTTGAACCAAGTTCTGTCCTCAGTTATTTTGAGAGCTTCTGTATAATAAAATGCAGGATCCAAAAACCAATAATCAAGGCTCACTGTATTATTTATTTATTTTACAAAGTCCACTGGTGGAATTATATCCAAAAAATAATGAGAGGGACTCTGCAATCAAAAGAAGGCATTTGTATTTCAGGAAAGAAGAAAATAAATGATAGAGTCTTGCTTATACATAGTTAATAGATGACATAAACATAGATATTCATAATTAGCTATTTTCAAGGTATTTCTCCATTCTCCTACTGTTACTCTCCTTAAGAAAGAACTATTGACTTAATAGAAAGAAACATATCAGTTACATTTCCACAGATATTTTTATAAAGCTTCTTGAAAAGCAGGTACTTCATAATTCCTTTTTTAATGAAGTAATTAGCACATATTTTACTAACTCTCTATTTTAGTTATTTACTAACTCTCTATTTTACTAACACATTTTCACTCCTCCAAGAATTTGTTTTCCTCACACCTAGAGCAGGTGAAGTATATCTAAGATGGGAAAATGGAGGAGTAAGAATAACCCATCATTTTGTTTTTTCACATTTTACTTTTTTTAAAAAAGGAAATAGCTGAGAAGAAGAACAAGCACATACCAGCAATGCTGTTTACATTCTGTAAATTAAGCATTTTTATAGGTTTGAGGGTTCTGGGCCAAAAGCAAAACGCAAGAGTATAAGCCAAGTCTGCAAGAGGATGGCCTAAAGTTGAAAGTTCCCAATCCAACACTGCCGCGACACGGGCCTAGAAATAGAGACAGAAATAAAAACTTAAAAGAGGACAAAATAGTTGAAAATTTTAATACGATTGCTCTATTTAGTGATTTAGCAATAGCAATAGCACTTAGACTTATATACTGGCCCATAATGCTTTACAGCATTCTCTTGAGTTGTTTACAATGTCAGCATATTTACTTACCCTCAACAATCTGGGTATTCATTTTACTGACCTTCAAAGATGCCCACAACCTTGAGCCAGTCAGGATTGAACTCCAGGTTGTGGGAAGAGTCAGCCTGCAATACTGCAGTTCTAATCACTGTGCCATCAAGGCTCCTGGTGATATGATTTCAGTACATATCATGCACATGGAATTATAGTTATGACTTTTGAGAATATTAACATGGATGCATATAACTCAGTGCTATTGTGTGACTACTGCTAATCTAATTGGCAAAACAAAACCGAAATAGTTACCTTTGCATTAGATCTGAATTTCAGAAGTCAGCTTCTTGCCACCAAACAAACTGAATGAGGTGATTCATGTACATAGAGGAGGACATGGGAGGCAAGGCCACACTTGTGATCTTACAGATTTTTACATCAACCTCCCTCTTTCCACCACTCTGATACTGCTGAGTGAAAGATAACCAACTATGCTCTCTCAGAGCCAGCCCTTTACCAAACAATGTCCTGGTAAGGACTGAATTAAAAGTACAGCACATATGCAAATCATCATTAGTTGAATTCTTTAGCAGCTAAGTCTGATTATAGGAGTTCATGCATTTCTGTACATTTGAAGTATCACTGATTTTGGAAGACAGAATAGAAAAGATAGAAACTGAGGAATATATTCAAGGTAACTAATCCATTTGTCCTCTGGATCCAGTTTTGTGGAAGGCCAAGGGTTGACTACAGATCCAAAGCACAATATATAGTACTGTCAGCCTTCAAGATCTTTTCTACTGTTTTGCATCTTTTGGCTGCCATAAGTAACGGGGGGGAGGGGATATGTCTGGGAAGAGAGCTGGAGGTGTTACATTCTTGTGTTGTGTAAATGAGGAGTGGGGGGGGGGATATAAATTCCTGCTCTTAACTTTCTATTCCTCGCTTAGCTTTCTTTCCTCTGCGCAGCTGCAAATTCTTTATCAAAATATGTCAAGGTCAATGGACAGAGGCCTCATCACCACCTGAAGATGCTCACATGATCATATTCACAACTTTTAATTGGAAGACTCATTTGAACTATGAGGGGTGGGAACGTTTCCAACACTTTGTATATGTGGTCTGCGCGCCTATTTTCTTAGATTCAGAATTCTATTTGATGCTACCACTTCATTTTCATTAAAAGATTTCTTTGCTCTAATCTAAATCTAAAGAGTCTAAGTTTTTCTTTCTTGAATTTTGAATGGAGCACCACCTGACAAGTACTATATAATATCACTGTGTTAGGATCAACTAGGAAACAAAGGGCTGAGGCTTCACTCCTCCAGATTTCTGTACTAGGCTATTTTTAACTATTCGCAACTGTAGGGTAAGAATGATTCTTGTGTATTCCATATATTCTTATTTTGCCATTTCTCTAAGCTCATCATATACTTTAAGTTTTCTGCATTGTTTTAGTGGTTCTTGGCATTGTCCTTTTCCCTCACTCTTTTTGAAAGCCTCTAGAGATGGAGCACCCACAACTTCTGAAGGAAAGTTATTCCATTGGTCGATTGGTCTCACCCTTAGGAAATTTCTCCTTAGTCCTAGGTTGCTTCTGTCTTTGGTTAGTTTCCATCCATTGTTTCTTGCTGTGTCTTTTGGTGCTTTGGAAAATAGATTGACTCCTTCATTTTTGTAGGAGTCTTTCTTTCTTTCTTTCTTTCTTTCTTTCTTTCTTTCTTTCTTTCTTTCTTTCTTTCTTTCTTTCTCTTTCTTTCCTTCCTTCCTTCCTTCCTTCCTTCCTTCCTTCCTTCCTTCCTTCCTTCCTTCCTTTTTTCTTTCCACCCTCCCTGTGCCCCTGTAAGCCTCCCTGCAGCCTTCTGAGCGCAAAAACAGGATGGGGGGGGCACACCGCACCTCCCCACACCTTGTTTTTGCTCCCATGAGGCTGCAGGGAGGCCTAGGCCCAAAATGGGCTGCAGGGCAGGTGCGTCACAGCCCTCCGCGTCCCATTTTGGGTATAGCAAGCCTCCCTGGAGGATCAGGAGAACCAAAATGAGGGAGGTGCCGCACCTTGCTGCATCCCATTTTGGGCCTAGAAAGCCTCCCTGCACTTACCTGGGAGCCAGAACCAGGCGTGTGGGGACTCCTGGGAGGGGTGGTGAGGGGCTAGCTGGTCTTCGGAACTACTAGTTTACCGAACTGGATGTAAAATTAACATCCAGTTTGCATGAACCGGTACAAACCAGCTGAATCCCATCCCTGCATATATAGAACTATGAGGACAAAATATAGAACAAAATATAATGCATAGTAAACTCAAGCATGTTAGCACTTCACTGTATGATGATACAGAAATGATGTGTTAGTAACACATGAATATGATAGCAACCAACACACCAAAAATGTTTAAAATCAAATAAGGATACTCCAAGCGTTTCTAATTTCTAATAGGAACATTTCATGTAGCTATTCTTCAAAAATATGCAAGAAGGATAATAGACTCTAATCCTGTTTTACAGAAGGGGAAATTAGCACCTAGAATCACACACAAGAAATATTATGGTTTACTGTTATTGTCAAATTACTGAATTCATTTTTTTTAACTGAGCCTGCACTACATTTTTACAATTGTTTTTAGCTTCCAACAGCTGCAGAGTATGTCTAATAAATAATGTGATGATTACTAGTGGAGGCAGGCGAGCAGGCTTAGACCTAAAATCTTTTGGTCCTTTTAGCCATTTCAAAGTTAAAGATAAAATGTTAAAGTTCTTGGAAACTAATTCTGATTTCAGTGATCTAGTACTAAATAAAGGATAGGAATTAAACCATAGGGATAAATGCAGTACATATTTCATTTTGTCTCTAGCATAATCTTTCAATCAACAGGATTTTAAAATGTATTAGGATTATTCATTACTCTACAAATACTATTGGCATTTGTTTTAAAATAGATCCATTAGAATTAATGCCGCAAAATACAAATGCACTCTTGACTGGAAAATGCATTTTACCCTATATGATATGCTGATATGCCAAGGAGTTGATAGATGGAGAGATCTTGCTATTTTCAGATCTGTTTCTACATGTGTTGCACTACAATTTCATAGAATAATATTGTTCAAGCATATATTAGTTCAGATGAGATGGGGCGTTGGTACTTACCTGATACGCCCTTTCTATTTGAGCTGCTCGGAGCAGCCAATGATGGGAGGTGCTTCAGTCTCTGCTTGCTTAGGCTGAGCTTGAATTGAGGAACGCCCCTCCTCCTTCACGTGACTCTTCTTGGGCATTCCCTAGTTTTGCAAAGGCGAGAGGAAAAAAGGGTTGCTCCTATCCCTATCACCTAAACAAATATTGGTCCTTGGCCGAGGGAGTGAGAGGCCCCACCAGACGGAATTTAGGGTGGGGCTGGATGCTCCTCGCAGCTCAAATAGAAAGGGCGTATCAGGTAAGTACCAACGCCCCTTCTCCTATGAGCTGCTTGGAGCATCCAGTGATGGGACATACCAAAGCTTGTCCTGTTCTAAGGGGGGGATTCCGTCTGGTCCTGAACTTCCCTAGGGTCCCTAAGAACACGCTGCAGGACTCGCCTACCAAAAGAGGCCTCTGCAGATGCAAACACGTCAATTTTATAGTGCCGAATGAAGGGGGAAGGTGAGACCCAAGTCGCAGCCCGGCATATTTCGATTATGGGTGCCTGGGTAGCTCAGGCCGCAGAGGTGGCTGCGCTCCTGGTTGAATCGGCTGTTATGCCCTTAGGAACCTGAAGGGCCTGGGACTGATACAATTTGGCTATGGCCGCCCTAATCCATCGTCCTATGGTAGTAGATGACACCCTATGTCCCTGTGTTTTGGGTTGGAAGGAAAGAAAAAGGGCCTCCGATTTCCTGAAGGGCATTGTGTGTTTGATGTAAATTCGCAGAGCGCGTCTTACATCGAGTTTGTGCCATTTTTGTTCCCTTTCCTGCGACGGATTGGGACAAAAATTTGGGAGGATGAGCTCCTGAGCTCTGTGGAAAGCCGAATTAACCTTAGGCAGAAAGGTGGGGTCGGGTCGGAGGATCACCCTATCTGCATGAAAGACACAGAGGTCTTGCCTGACAGAAAGGGCTGCTATTTCCGAGATACGTCGGGCTGAAGTAATGGCTACCAGGAAAACTACTTTATATGTTAGGAACTGGAGACCCATCTCCCTCAAAGGCTCAAAAGGCTCTTTGGTGAGGGCGAGGAGGACTTTATTGAGGTCCCAGGTAGGGTAACAGTGCCCTGTGGGGGGGTGTAAGTTGGTAGCCCCTCTAAGGAAGGCTCGGATGAGGGTGTGGTGAGAGAGAGAACTGAGACCCTCGTAAGCAAGGACTGAGGACAGGGCAGCTACCTGACGCCTTAGTGTGTTAGAGGACAGCCCCTTGTCAAGTCCCTCCTGAAGAAATTCTAAAATTTGAGCTATGGAGGGAGAAATTGGGTTAATTTTAAGTTTGTTGCACCAACGACAGAATATGGCCCATGTGGCATTATAAATTCGTGTGGTTGATGGTCGTCTGGCAGCTAGAATAGTGTCAATGACCCTATTTGAGAGCTGTCTTTTCCTCAAGGTGCTCCGCTGAACCTCCAGATGGTCAGTTAGAGCCATTGCAGGTCCGGATGTAGGAGGGGCCCCTGGGACAAGGAAATCCTATCTGGAAGGATCCTCCAGGGAGGGGACACCGAGAGAGTGAGGAGGTCCGCAAACCACGGCCGTCTGGGCCAGAAAGGGGCCACCAGGAGCAACTCCGCCTTTTCGTGGAGCAGCTTCTGGATCACCCTGGGTACCAGAGCCAGAGGAGGGAATGCATAGAGGAGTCCTGGGGGCCATGGGCAGCAGAACGCATTGTCATTCT